TCTTCCTTATATACCTCTCTAGTGCTGGGATAAAAGGCATGAGCTCTGTTACTCTTTTAGACCGATTCACTCTCATGTAGCCTTGAACTCACAGAGATCCATGTGCCTGTCTCCTGAATCCTGGGATTAAAGGTGTGGCCACCACTGCCCAGCTTCTATGGCTGTGGCTAGCTTTGCATTCTGATCCTTCAGGTAAGCTTTATTAAATCATAAGTAACTGATGGGAGATGCCATTCTGTAAATATGTTTCTCTTATTGGTTAATGAATAAAGCCCTGTTGGCTAATAGGAAAGCAAGATAGGTGGGACAAGGAGATGAGGAGGATTTTGGGAGATGTAGTAGAGGATTCAAGATGTAGAGACTTAAGAAAAGAAGGTCCAGACCTTCTCTCCGGTAAAATAAAACCATATAGGAACACTTAGATGAATAGAAATGGGTTAATATTTAAGACAGAGCTAGCCAATAAGAAACACTAGTAATAGGCCAACAGCTTTATATCTAATACAGTGTCTCTGTGTGTTATTTGGGGCTGATGCGGCTGTGGGTCCAGGCTGGTGGGAAAGCTGCTCATAAATAAATAACCTTATCACCACAGAGGTGCAGAGAAAGGAGATGCATTCAATGTGGTCACATTGGGAAGATGCACAAATGGAGAGAGGTCCTAGGATTCCCTAGGTTTAGGTTTAAATACAAGGCAAGTGGTATGGATCACTAAGCAGTTCTGGAAAAGGTGTGGTTCTTACTCCATCAACCCATGGTTGTCTTGGCTCTAGCCTCTCCATCAAGCTGGTCTGAGGTTTTCAAACCAAGTGTGTATGAACACTTTCCTGCCAGACTGGTCCCACCGCCACGTCAGCCCCAAATAACACAAAGAGATGTATAAATTATGAATAAATTTGATATATAAATTATAAAACTGTTGGCCATTGACTATGATTTCTTATTACTAGCTTTGATTTAATTTTTAACCCATTTCTATCAATCTAAGTGTTCCCATGTGGTCTTGGCTTACCAGGAATGCTGGGTCTGGATCTCCTTTGCCTGCTACATCTCTGCAGAACAGAGAGTGATTTCCTGTTTATCTGTGCTTATATTCTGATTCTGCCCAGCTATGTCACTTCCTGCCTGTCTGTACAGACCTCCAGAACTCTATGATTAGCTAGTGGCAGTATCTGCCATGCTACATCACTTCCTGCCTGGCCAATCAGTGTTTTATTCATCAACCAATGAGACAAACATATGTACAGAAGAATATTCCCCACCATCTCCTCTTTTCTGTCTAAATAAAAAGGTGGGGTTTAACTTTAACATAGTAAAATCACACATGACAAAATAGTTATCAAATAAGAGCTATAGTTAATATTTAGTCCATTAACATTTAGCAAGATTTAAAGAAAATATTCCACCATCTATCCTATCTTTGTGAGTCTAAAGTCTTATATGTAACCTATCTTTAATCCTAACTAAGGAAAACTATAACCATAACTATCTGTCTTTAACTCCGTCAAAGACCACAGAAGGATAGTATATAAACTCTAGAAGTGACAGAGACACCTTGATACCTGGACAGTCATCCAAAGTTCTTCTGTAAATTGGTGCATCCATCTTTGGTCCATAGGCCACAGTGTATCTGGCCGACTTCTCAAATAAGTAGGAAATTTTGAACTGTCCCGCCTGTATTGGCAGTTTGTCAGTCACTTTTCTCTGTGTCCTGCAGACTGTCTGACAGACTCTTCCATGAAGCAGGAACCCTGTAGCAAAGTCCATCTTGTATCAGCAGTCATTTTTCTATGGGTCCTGCATGTCCAGTTTATACAGCACAAAGTTAAACAGTCCAGACAAAAGCAGTTTCTTGCCCAAATGACTAGTCTTGCTATATTGGAAATAAACTCCATAACGAGTTTCTTCAATGTCCATCTTTCCTTCTGATGCAGTTGGTGTTGCCAGGAGCAGTTGTGCCTCAGTTAAGAAAACCCTAAGCCATTTTAAATGCCATATTCTGTAGGCCTTTGAAAAGGTTTGAAGAATGCCTATCCATTTGAAGTATATCTCTATGTATCTAGAAAACCTAACTAACCTAACTATAAGTTAATCTGTAATTTATTATATATTAAATTTTAAATGAGCTATACAAACACAGTTTGTATCAATAACTGTAAATCCATTCCAATACAAAGTATTCATATCTATGCCATAATCCCCTTTTACCTTTAACTTTTACCTTTAAAAAAGAGATGTGATCATTAACAATTTATAATCAACCCCAAACAGCTGGACCAAGCAGCCTTACAGATTACAGCCAGGATTTCTGCATCTTTTTAGAATCCTCCATGACAGCGCCCTTACCAGCAGGAAGTAGTTTGGAAAGAACGACGCCCAAATTCCCAAATATTGTCTATAAATGTTTGTTTTTATTTAAATGGGGTTGATATATACACATTTATAGATAATATTTGGGAATTTGGACGTCGTTTTTTTTTTTTTTTTCAAACTGCTTCTTGCTGGTTGGGGATGATGTAATACCATGGGAATCCTGGCTGTAGTGGTCTGCAAGGCTGCCTTGTCCCAGCTGTTTTGAATGTTGGATCACCTGGGACTGTGCTTCAGGAGGTCTTACTTGATCAACCCATATTAGTCTGGAAGGAATCCACAGCTTTTCATTTTCTGTGGAAACATAAATAAAATCTCTTTTCTTAAATAACATATCCTTATACTTAAATTTTGTGTGTTTTTTAAATTTTTTTTATTTAAATTTGCAACAATCTTGTTTTACATGTCAATCCCAGTTCCCTCATCCTGATCTCCTCCCCTGTCCCTCTTACAACCCCATCCCATCCCCTATCTGCTTCCCAGGGAAGGTGAGGCCTTCCATGAGGGATCCTCAAAGTCTGCCATATCATTTGGATCAGGGCCTAGGTCCTCCCTTATGTGTCTAGGCTAAGAGAGTATCCCTTTATGTGAGATGGGCTCCCGAAGTCCACTCATGTACTAGGGATAAATACTGATCCATTACCAGAGGTCCCATATAATGCCCAGGCCTCCTAACTAACACCCATGTTCAGGGGGTCTGGGTGGATTCTATGCTGGTTTCCCAGCTATCAGTCTGGGGTCTATGAGCTCCCCCTTGTCTAGGTCAGCTGTTTCTGTGGGTTTCTCCAGCCTGGTCTTGACCCCGTTGCTCATCACTCTTCCCTCTTGAAGTCAAGGCACTTTTAAAATATATAAATTGGTCTTTTCCTAGGAAACAGGTTCCTTTTTCTAGGTGTGCCAGTGTTTTGTGCTTTTCATCCTCCTTCTCCCAGTATGAGACTCTTGGGGAAATTCCAGTTTCTTTGAGATCATTGCGACAGTCTGATCCCCAGAGAGAAGGGGACAAGTGCCTTTCCTTCATATATATTTGTCCCCTGCTTAGACAGTTGGGAGATCCCAGACTTTAGATAGTGGGCTTTTCTTTCTCTCTAATCACTCTCCTAATGGGGCATCACTTTATCCAAACTCATGAAGTCTTATTAAATGTTTTGTCTTTGTTTTCACACACTTCTGCACCCTCTTTTACCTGAAGCTCTCTGTTTGTAGGTTTTACTTTTCTTTCTTGTTTTCTCTAGGAAGCATGGGCAGTAGGCCGCAAACACTTTCGAAGGGATCATGTGTAATAAATCTTTTGTCTTTGAGAATCTTAGGCAGTTTTAGTTTGTAATGTCATTGTTTGTCCTCTGCATTTTATGCGGTGCAATGCATTAAGCTCTTCCGTGGAACACTCATAAATTTATAAATAGCATCTCATTTGATCCTGTGACATTGGATGTAATATTTTCTTCATTCATATTTCTACCATGTAGACAGTCAAAAGATGGATTCTAAGACCTATGTTCAGTTATGTAGGTAGAGTGCCACAGTGTCTTGAGCAATGAAGCAATGTTGGAGTAAATGTTGGTACATTCAGACAATTGCTCTGAAAGAAGCCCCTTTTGGGGGGGGGCATCAAAATTTCCATTTTGTTTCGCCAATGCACATACATCTCTCAAAGGCAGAGACTGTTCTTTCCCATAACACTCTGTATAGCATTTGAGAAGTTACTGTTGCTAGCAGATATTCTGAGTGGACACTTAATAGAGGTAGGGAGAAGAATTAGGAACAAAATGTTCTCCAGTTAGTTACAAACGACTTTCCTACTTATGGGCAAGTTTAAATTGTATTATCTTTCTCTATATCTTCTAGAAAGTGCTTTAGTAGGCATTTATCATTGGGGCTTTTAAAAACTGTCAAATTCATGGAACTTGAAATTCTCATAGAAAGTCTGCAGCAGGAGTTTCTATTTTTGTTGATATTTTAAAATGAAGAAAGTGTTAATGCAAAGGCAAGCCTGTGCTCATCACACATTGTAGAATTTCTAAGACCAACAGAGATCTAGAGCACCAAGAACAGCATCCAGAACAGAGTGAACTTGGTGAGTTGTTGAGGAATGAATGGCTCACTGTACATTCACTTCATTTCATGGCAGACGAAACTGACAGGATGATTTGCTAATGGTCACACAGTGACATGGGCAATAGAATGAACATTTCTTGATGTCATAATGTTTTAATTATTGATATCATATTTGAATTGTAATATGAAGATCTCTTTCAATTTAGTCTTTGAATAACTTTAGGATGTGCAAAAATATCAAATTCCTAGGTTAATATCTGTTACATCATCGGAAGGCAGTTGTAAGAATATGCTCATAAAAGTCAAAGGATTGATTTAAGGGGAGGCTAATTTAAAATGTCTGTAAGTGACTTGTTCAAGGTGTGTCAAGTGATTCATTTCCTCCATGCCTGCTGTAAGCTTTTTGTTCTCCTCTGTGATGTATCATCATGGTTTCTCATACACTATCAATGACTTTTAGTTGGAACAACCTGTCTCCCCTGGGATATAACCCATCTCTTACTTGTCTGGATTTATCAAATGTTCAAGCCACATCAGTGTTCATGCTGATTGATTTTTTTGCTATTTTATAGGATGGAAGAACAGAGTCAAGTTCATGCACCTGTTTGAAGGGGCCCAAACTATCAGAGATTGGAACAATTGCCTGGATGATCACCCTTTGTGATGCTCTCCACAACTTCATCGATGGTTTGGCAATTGGGGCATCTTGTACTTTGTCTCTTCTTCAGGGACTCAGTACTTCCATAGCTATCCTGTGTGAGGAGTTTCCTCATGAGTTAGGTGAGAGACCCAGCTCACAGGGCAAGAGGTGATGGAATCTTACACTGGGAAATCTCGCTCCTATACTGAAATGAATGACCTGTTATTGGAAATTGTTGTTATTATCGTTATTACTCAAGTCTCGTCCCCAAACAGAAGGAGGCACAGCTTACTTGATGTTTTCTTCTTCTAGGGGACTTTGTGATCTTGCTCAATGCGGGGATGAGCACTCGACAAGCCTTGCTATTCAACTTCCTTTCTGCATGTTCCTGCTATGTTGGGCTAGCGTTTGGCATTTTGGTGGGCAACAATTTTGCTCCAAACATTATATTTGCACTTGCTGGAGGCATGTTCCTCTACATTTCTCTGGCAGATATGGTAAGAAATTCAAGTATTTTATTTTGTGTTAATTTGACCTTTATAAATGAGCGTCTGGGTTATGAATTGAAGAACAGCCTTTTGGCTTCCCACTGTCTTCAAGGGCTGAGAGGTAATCCAGAGTTTTCCCTCCCTGACCACCACATTTGTACTAACAATAACTTAAAATGGCTATCCTTCATTCTTTGATATTTGATCTCATGGACAGTGATGAAGTGAACAATTTTTATTAGAACAGTGCTATTTTCCAAGAACAATTTTTATTAGAACAGTGCTATTTTCCAAGGCCTTCTTTATGTGACTTCTATTATAGTAGAATTTTGTAAGGCCTGATCCTTCTCTTGCATGAGGATATCACATTTAGAAGAATAAATAACTTGACAGAGTAAATAATATTTTTTTAAGTTCAAAATGATTTGAAATGAAAGCTTTTGAAATTACTAAATTAAGAAAAATTAAAATTTAACAATATTTAATTGTTTTAATTTGGAGACAAGGTTTTTCTTTGTAACAGCCTTGGCTGTCCTGGAACTCACTTTGTAGACTAGGCTGTCATGGGACTCACAGAGATTAGCTTGCCTCTGCCTCCTGAGTGCTGGGATTAAAGTCATGTGTCACCATGCCCAGCTAAAATTTGACAATATTTATTTGGGTCAGTATGTATTTATATTTGTAGGTGTATGTATGTGTATGTGTGTGTAGATAAATACCCTATGTGTTTTCTAGGGCATCATAAACAGTTTTCTAGAAAATGATGTGTCAGAGTATAAAAAATCAAAGAATATTTGTTTGCATTTGCAAGTTAATGTATTATGTATAATTTAATAACTTAACATTTCTCCTCTCTATTATAAGCTCCAAATTCTAAGTTTCTGTTCAGTGAAGGCACCTGAAAAAGTGAGGATTCAGCTCTTAGAAGCATCACAGCAGTTACATTTTTTCTTCCACAGAATTATGTCACACACTGTCCTTACTCCAGATGGCCACTTCTTCCTATGATGTAAAAAGGCTCTATTAAAGTTATTCCCTTTATAGAAGCGATACAAGTGATGCTCTACGTGACATAGTAGTTTTCTTATTTTAGAACAGTCACCCATTTTATCCCAATAAGAACTTCTCACCAGTTCTGGCTTCCCTGTGGACTCTGGAGATCCCTAGCCTGGCTACATAAAGGATTTCGTAGCATATGTGGCAGATCATACCAAAATGTGTTTCTAAAACTTGACTTACACGTCCCCTTGTGTAAACCTTTGCAGTAGATGCTATTGCTAAGAAAGAGAAAATTTATTTATACATTTTTTTCTTTTTACTGAAACATCTAGGACTTTATTTGTGTTCACTATAGTGAAATGACTATAATCTTCAACACTAGGCCAATATACAATTTATTATAAAGCCTTGTTATCCTGTGACGATAGAGCAATCACAATGGGACAAACTAGAAAATACAAGAAGTAAACCAAGTTAATTCAAAGCATTGGTTCAGTCAGCTACACAAGCTTCTCTTCAACCAGTACTGAAAATTCTGAGACAGGCAGGGTACTTGCTTTCCTGAGGAGTCCTGTCCAGGGGAGCTAAGTGAGAATTTAAGCTAATAAAAGTGGCACACTTCTAACAAGAAGGGTCCCTAAGACCAGCAAACATGGTGTGCAACATGATGAGGTGGCACAAGGCAGGATGGTTAGAATTTCAAGATTTCAAGAATGTATGCCTGAGGGTGAAACCTGAAGGGTTGAATTCCTTTAAAATCTGAGGTGTAGACAATAGTCTATGCGAAGAGAGTCGAGGGGAGAATGTTTCAAACCAGGCACATCCCCTGTGGCTGAGTGGTTCATGTGACTATTTTAATTGTTTTACTCTGGGTGCCCCAACTTACTAGAATTCCTCGCTATGAGACCTGATCCCAAACTTTGGCCTGTCCAAAATGAATGCTCATTTCCCTTTAGAAACCTCAGACGAGCATTTCAGGTTTCACCACAAGATGGCGACAGCTGTTTAATAGTTTAATAATGTATCTTCTAGTTTCCAGAGATGAACGACATGCTGAGAGAAAAAGTAACTGGAAGAAAAACGGATTTCACCTTTTTCATGATCCAGAACGCCGGGATGTTAACTGGGTTCAGCGCCATCCTGCTCATCACCTTGTATGCAGGGGAAATAGAATTGCAGTAGCCAGAAGTGGAACATAGCGTTGTTGAAGGGATTGAATAAGAAATAACGCAAAACATCTCCAAAGGGATTTTTTTTTTTAAAAAAGAGTATCCTATTAGTTAAAAAATTTTTATTTACAACTAGAGGTTAAGGAATCCAGTGACTGGCTTCAGACAACGTAAAATAGGTGAAATTTGTTGTTAACGAGATTCTTTAAAAGGTTTTCGGTTTCAGTCTGAAATGGCAGGTATATGGGGGCCTTTGGTAAATACCTGTTTTTTAATGTTTTATGTATATTAGAAAATTATCACGAGGAAAAACACATGCAGTCACAAGCATACACATGGACCCAGAGAAAAACACAATCTAGGTCATGTAAGGGGTTAAAACTTGGTCAGATTAAAAAAATTCAAGTCCTTTCAGAGTGGTTTTCTTTCAGTTAGTATGTTCTACTGCTTTTGAGGGCAAGTGTATCAAATGTGGGAGAAAATCAAAACAGCTCTGGTGCACCCACGAACGATTCCAGAGCTTTAATGATCGCCTGAAAGACAGATTGCTCACAACGTTAGTTCAGTTTTATGTCTCAATTAACAACTTGTAAGGTTGTTTTGAAAGCTATTCTAAAGTAACTTGAGCTAGGAACTATGAAAGGCTTGCTAGCCCCACGAAGCTTGGGCTTAGGGGTTTGTCTTTGAATATAAAGTGGACCAGACTCTGCCAAAAAGGTCAGAATGGCTTCCCAGTGATTTATGCTGCAGTTCCAACCCTCAGAAATGACAGAGGAGTATGCAAGACTGCTCAGAACTCTGTCTCACCACATTTGAGATTGCTTTGTGATGGGGAATATGTTGGGTGGGAGAAAGAAACTGAATGTAATTTTGAGCAATTTACTCTTTAGAGATAAGCATAATTATTTAGCAGGGAAAATTCTCAATAAATGCAAAATAACAGCTGGACTGTGCTGTGTCAGAGACTGACTGACGATGGAAGCATGTGTTCATTAGGGGTGATGGACAGCCAGTTGGAAATGTCTTCTTCTGTGTTCAGCATGTGTTTTTCTGTATGGTAGACCTTTGGAGAAAACTCAGCATGCTGTGATTATATTTCTACCTTTTGTAAGAGACAGAGCGTGTTGAGTCTTTGAACAGGTAGTAGATCATTAGTCTGAATTGAACATCCTAATCTCAATTCACACTCCCAAGGAACTTAAAAAAAAAAAAGATGATTTGACAGTGATGAAAATTATTAATAGATACCAACAGTTTTCTCAGAAATTTTGTTTTCCTATAAGCCAAAACATGTTTTCCTTTAATAGCAATGCAGGTTTGATAACCATTTAACATGTTTATGTATATTTCACTCTGCGTCTGACAATTGAAAACTATTATTTGACCGAACAGTAAACACCTTTGAAGCCATGCACTGTGTCAGTTATTTTTCTTTTCATCTGTTTTGAATGACTGCCATGTACCTGCTATTATGTGGAAGAGTGACGAATAGGAAATTGGTGTTTCAAAGATATCTAGCAAATAAATCCTACAAAGATTTATTTTCCATTTCAATAAACATAGTCTATATTATTGGATATTTCCAATGTGTTTAACAATCTTTGCTTTTAAAAAGTGCAGGTTGTATGTATTTTCAAAAATAATTTATTTAATTTTACTTCATGTGAATTTGTATTTTGCCTGCAAGTATACTTGTGTAAAGTGTTAGATCCCCTGAAAATATAGTATAGGCAATTGTGAGCTGCCATATGGGTGCTGGGAATTGAACCTGGGTCCTCTGGAAGAGCAACCAGTGCTCATAACCACTGAGCCATCTCTCCAGCCCAGTTATTTGTATTTTTAAAGAAACAATTTATGGCACAATATTTTTAAAAAATAGTTTAGTGATCCTCATTGTACATGTGGATTGTCTGGAGACTTTTTGGCATGCTTTTTATGTATCTGGAGGACAAAGGACACGGGGCAGTGGAGACTCAAAAGCAAAAGACAATCACTTGTTGGAGTGGAGGTAGAAGGGAAGGCTTGACGGCACTTATGTTATCCTGGTTAACTGTTTTCAAGTAAGCACAGCCCTGTCAGTAACTCACCGTCTGTGGAGGCATGCAGTATACTAGATGAATATCCTATAATCTTAATATCGCTTGGGGAAAGGATTTATTTCATATGACAGGATGAAAATCATCATTGAGGGGAGTCAGGGCTGGAACTCAAGCAGGGACTGAAGCAGAAACCATGGCAGGACACTGATTACTGGCTCTATCTCTGGCTTATTTGGCCACTTCAGTAACAGCTCTCCAGATGGACTTAGAACCTACTCAACAAGAGGGAAATAATTGGAGGGAAGCCTACAACCACTACTTATAAACCAGCATAATCATCAGAATTTAGAGATGCTAGCAGGGTAAATAAAAAATTTTTACTGTATAATATATCAGAATATACATAGTATCCTCTCAAGTCCCTATCAAGTATCTATTATTTTACTTTTTCCTGATTGGAGATAGCTAATACTAGTGATAATCCAAAGTCTTCAGAGCCATTGCCCCCTTCTAACAGTTATCTAAACGTTTTTAATGAAAATAGTTTCTTTTCCTTACCCATACAGGTAAGTGCCTTGGCTTAGTCCTGTTGAGGAGAACTCAACTTTTCTAAGCCTCCAGTTGCCCTGGCTTCTTACTGCAGCAGTGGCGGGATGAAGCCAGCTTTTGAGCCCAGTGTTGGATGTCTCTGGAGACAACAGAGGGCCATAATGATTTCTAGGCGCTCAGCAAAGCCCTAGACCTTGTTGAATATTTCTGATTTACCACACTTAAGTGCCTGTCTCACCTTGTTCTGCTTGGCATTGTCTTCCTGTAGGTCTCTCTTTGATTTTATCAGGAGGCTACCATGATTTCCAGACAATTTCTGTGTTTACTTAAGATCTGTTGTAATATAAGAGGTTCTCAAATGGATGCTTGTTAGGAGTAGGTTTTTCCCCCGCCACCAGTCCCGTCCCACCACCACACCAGTCCCAATTAACACACAGAGACTCTGTATTTGATGTAATGCTGTTGGTCAGTTACTTGTTTCTTATCGGCTAGCTCTGTCTTAAATATTAACCCATTTATATTAATCTAAGTATTACCACGTGGTCTCATCTTACCAGAGAGTGGGGCGGGCATCTGTCCAGTTTCTACATGCTGACTCCTCCCTACTACCTCAAATCCTCCTTGTCTCCTAGTCCCACCTATCTTGCTTTCCTATTGGCCAACAGTGCTTTATTCATTAACCAGTATGAGAAACATATTTACAGAATGACATCTCCCGTTAGATCCTCTTGGCTGTACTATCACAGGTCATTCTTCAAGGATACACTGCCTTCCACACCATGTGTTTCAATCTCTGTACTTAGTTGCTTTTCTGTCCATTTCCTTTTTGCGTTAAGAATGCAAGAAACATTTCCTCAGGACCATTTGGCTTCCTGATTGAAAAGTCTTACTTCTCTGTGGTTCCAGAGCAAGAGATTCTACTATAAAGTTCAAAGTTGGTGAAAAATAAAGTGGATAAACTGGAAACTCCTAACATTATCCTGTTTATTAGAAGGCACATTGCCTCCCGCCATGTTGTTAGGATTTTCAGATAGATAGTGTTCCGCAGGCATTGGAAATGGCATGGCATTGTGGAGGGGTTCTTAAATGTTGTAAGAAAATGATAGTATCATGGTATGGAGGATTTGAAACTAGGGTTTAAGGGTAAGAGGTTTTCCCTCAGTTTTATGGAAGAGCTGTGCGCTGCAACATGGTGTAGCACAAATAATAAAAACCTAGAGTCAGATATTATGGTTAAAGCTGATCAGAAAAGCAAAGCAGCCAAGCCACCAGAGAGCTCTTTCCTCTACTGAGGCTGGGGAGATCCTGTCCTCAACGTGGCTGGAGACTAATTTCCTAGACTGAATTCCAGCTCTGAGGCCCTCCTCCTGTTTTATATACCTCTCTAGTGCTGAGATTAAAGGAATGCACCACCATTGCCCAGCATTTTTGGCTAACTAGTGTGGTTGCTGGGATTAAAGGTGTGTACCATCACTGCCTGGCCTCTATGGCTGTAGCTAGCTTTACATTTTGACCTCAAGGAAAGCTTTATTACACCATAAACAATGTTTCACCACAACATGGGGCTGGCACGACAGTTTTAGAAACCTAGACATCTTCCATTTGTCTGCTGTGCTGCATTTAGTCTGTGGTTCCCACTCCCAAGAGGCTTTATGCCATCTTAATATGGTTCCTAGAGATCTGACTTTGAACTCTAAGCTCCACCTAGCAGGAAAGAGGACTGGATAGAAAGGCAAACAGTTCCTACTCAGCTCTTTCTTTACCCTTTTTTGAGCAATACTTGGTAGAAGTAAGATCCAATAACATTTATTTATATCCACTGATCAGAGTGAGAGTCACATGTGTAGATCAGCATTTAGCTAGGCAATACTGCATTCAGCTGGATGCACTCCTGTGGTGGGGAAATCAAGATTTGTCACTAAGAAAAGTCAAGAATAGCTGTGTGCATTGGCCATCCTTCTGTCTAAACAGGTTTGTAGCCATTTCATTGGTTGTGAATGTGTGTATGGGCCAGAAGTTGATGTTCAATGTCTTCCTCAATTCTCCAATCCCACATTTTTGGAGACAGAGTTTCTCACTAAACCAAAAGTTCATCAATTCAGCTAGATTGTGTGGCTAGCAAGCCATAGAGATCCTTCTGTCCCCACATCTTCAGCCCTGAGATTACAGCATGGACCTCCATTCTTGGCTTTTCCTGTGGATGCTGGGTATCTGACCACAGGCACTCATGCTTATTCAGTAAGCATTTTACCTATCTTTAATCAATGGCAAGTATTACAGCTGAGCTGATCTTATTCTTTTTATTAGCATGCATTAATTATGCAGAAGAATGAGTTTTATTTTGTTTATATATATATATATATACACACACACATATACTTTTCACAATATACACAATATATTTTGCCATTTTCAAACACATTGTATTTTGCCTTTTTCACACACACAAGTGTATTTTCTTTTTTTTTTGCCATTTTCACAGGTATAAATAATAATTTG